CTTGGCCTCTCAAAGTGCTGGGATTACAGGCATGAGCCACCACACCTGGCCCACTAGTGCATTAAACTCATTATTTTGAAAAGTGATGAAGATTCAAGTATTTACTCTGCCTTTTCTTTATAAACTATACTAATGAGTAACCAAATAGAAGTAGAGAATTTTCTCTCTACAGAAGCATTCAAGCTAACATGAAATGATTAAATTATCACCATTTTGCCTCCTTCACGGAATTAATGACTAAGTACAAACAGCTGTGATTATCAGAAAAAGAAACTAGATATCATGTAGCTGCTGCTGCGGATGGAACATATCACCAACTATAAGACAGCTTTGCCAAAAACAAATAATAAAAATTTAACCTGAATTGGATCAGTTCTGTAGATCCAACTATCAATTTATAGGAAAAACACAGAGGACAGAGACACATTCTAAATACCACCAAGCAGATGCAATCAGCAAAATCTAGACCATGATCAACTCTACAAAATTAACTCAATTTTTTTCAGCAAAAAAAAATTGTAAGGGAAGAAAACAAGGGAATTCTAGTTCAAAAAGACCTATCAACCAATGTCTTTGGGTGGACTAATCTGGATCTTAAGCTGAAAAAAGGTGTTATAACTGAAAATTTGAACATTGACTGATACGAAGGAATTATTGGTAAGTTTTTAGGTATGATTGTTATTTTTAAGTTCTTATTTTTAAGAAATATTCACTAACAAAGTTACAAATGACAAACTAACCAAAGATGATATGTAAAACCTCTCCACAAAAAACTAAAACACTGAAAAAATTTAACCTAAATAATTGAAGACATACAACCTTATTCATAAATTAGAAAGTATTAAAAGATGTCAATTCTTCCCAAATTTCCACTTCTTTTCCTCTAAAATTTATATGGAAATACAAAGGGCCAAGAACAGCCAAGGCACTCAAAAAGTAGAGAAAAGTAGGAGGGCGAGAGGCACCATGGCTCATGTCAACACTTTAGGAGGCAAGGTGGGTGGATCACTTGAGGCCAAAAGTTCAAGATCATCCTAGCCAACATGGTGAAACCCGGTCTCTACTAAAAATACAAAAATTTGCTGGGCATAGTGGTACGTGCCGGTAGTCCTAGCTACTCAGGAGGCTGAAGCAAGAGAATCGCTTGACCTTGGGAGGTAGAGGTTGCAGTGAGCTGGGATTGCACTACTGCACTCCAGTCTGGGTGACAGATCGACACTCCATCTCAAAAAAAAAAAAAAAAAATGGTAGGAGGATTTGCTCTATGAGTATTAAAACTTCTTATAAAGCTAGATTAAGTAAACAATGTGATATGAGCACAAGGTTAGGCAAATGATCTAAAGAAGAACAGACTGCAGAAGGATACCCAGACATTAAGTGGACTCTAGACTCATGACAAATATAGCATGTGAAGCACATGTGCAGTGAAGCACAGATGGTCTTTCAACAAATAGTACTGGGATAATTAGACCTCCACTTGGGGGAAAAAAAAATGGAACCCATCCCCCATGCCTCAGTCACAGACAAAACAACAAATGTTGTAGAAAAGGTGTTCCCAGCAGCCGGGTGCGGTGGCTCACACCTGTAATCTCAACACTTTGGGAGGCCTAGGCGGGTGGATCACGAGGTCAAGAGA